TTACAACTTCCTATATGAACGTGATTGGGTCGATGAGAATTTTTCGAAAGTAAACGTATGCTTGCCACCTAATCTTCTGAATTCTCTGATGGGAATTTTTGCAGCTTTACTTGAACGGTAGTAAGCGGTACTAATTAGGTATTTAAGACGTTCCATCTACTATAGAATGAGTAACAGCTGGCGTATCGATCTACAAATTATAAGGTTAACCGTAGTGAAAGGGAATTATGACTGCAACTCTGACCTTAGTTAAGAAACGTAGGTAACACTTGGCAGGAAATCGACTTTTGGTTTATTAGACAAACTCAACTTTAAAAACTCCTTGGCGATTCTATGGCACCGCATCCGCAGAGGAAAGACCCTGCTAATGTGCTCACCATCCCATGTTCATCTAGCTCTGGACATGAGCCTGTTTATTAGTTTTTGATTCTAAATAAGATGTACGATTAGCGGTCTTTGTGTGCAAAGGTTTCCTTACTTCGGCACCTTACTTTGGAAAATAGGTGAAATGTTCTAAGTAGAGGAAATTGCATGGTTAGCTAACTAAACTAAACAGTATAAAAGGTAGAACTTACTTGACCACAAAGGGGTACTGTAAATTCCGCAGAATTTTGGCCTCTCGCCTTTCGATGCGCCAACTACTTGCATTACGATCATCACGTATTTTGAATTTGAGTGCATACTGCATCAATGTCTCCGGATTCTGCACCCATGCAACTGTCCCCTGACCTCCGGAGCGGATTCTAACTGGCTTCATCAACTCGAATTCTCCCAGCGACGGTTTGCGTCCGAGGGTTGATCTTGGTGTGACCTCATTTCCATCAACGAGTATAGTCTCCGGTTCACCGGTGTGCCATTCGCTTATTACAGGTTTGGACTGTAAGACCGCCAGAGTCTCCGCATGCATGCAGACACATGTTTTACTTTTTGCGTAGACCTCGTGCATTCCAGTGGGACAGAGGTTGAGCGGACCTCCAGCACTCCTCTGGCACACCTCTTCTGACCTTTCAGATTCATCAGCGAGACTCTGGTTTTGTTCTTGTTCGGCAACTAGTTGTTTACACACCGCGTCGTTTTGCCTTTCATTTAAATGTCCTGAAGCACAGAATAAATCGGGTGTCCATATATTGGTAGATGCAACGCATTGGGGAGTTCTTCTAGGCATGTTCAAATTCGTGGGCTAACCTTAGTAGTCTTGGATCTGTAGATATAGACTGGAACTCCGTTTGGGCTAAGGTTAGGCAGCGCATGATTTATACAATTCAACAATATAATTAAAGAAGAGGGCTGGGTGAGCACGGGAACAATTTTGTTTATTAGTACATAGCTGTACTCCGATCTGGTCCAAGATTCACTAACCCTGGCTGCTTCGTCTGGCGAGGACTGGACACTTCCAGTTTATTTTTATCAAGGACGAAACAATTATGTTACTCGCTAACTTTAAGTAACCAATGTATTATTACTGGCAAACGTTAGGACCGCGAGATACGCGTATTTCTGGTTACTTAAAGTTAGCGAGTAACATAATTGTTTCGTCCTTAATAAAAATAAGCTGGAAGTGTCCAGTCCTCGCCAGACGAAGCAGCCAT